TCCTAGCAACTATTTATTTTTATTTTTGCTGATTCCTTAAATTATTTCTTCACATAACCTTAAAGTTGTAGTTGTGTTGACTATCAGTGTGCATTATTATAGTGGTGAATAGTGGTAATAGGGTATAGTGTGGTGAAAAATAGCGTTCGTACCACGGACCGAAATGGTTTTGCAGCTCTCGATCGATTTAAGTTCTCGACTTCGTCTCGAACTTAAAAACTATCTCGAGCCGGCAAAACCTCATTTTCGGCCCTAGGTGCGAAATATACTATACCATCCAACAATCTCAAAATAAACAAAAGTAAAACTAATTTTATATCATTTTCAACTAAGCAATGCTGATTATTTTGGATTCCGATGAAATCAAACAAGTTGAAAAAATAGATTTTTTTAGGTTTAAAAGTTGATAAACATCTATCCTGGCAGGACCACGTTGATCATGTTTGCTCAAAGATAAATTCAGGGATATTTGCTTTGAAAAAGATGTCATATCTATGTAATATCAATACTTTGAAAACAATATATCATTCTCTTGTCCATAGCCACATTTCATATAGTATATCTTTATATGGAGCTACATCTAAGAAAAATCTTAATGGAATCATAAAATTACAGCAAACGGCATTAAGAACAATGATGGGACTAAAAAATGATGAATGTGTTAAAATTAATTTCAAAAATGTTAAAATACTAACTATGTTTGCCCAATACATTTTTGAAACTGCTCTCATAGCGAAAGAAAGCATATAAGATAACGCACAATTATGCACAAGAGGAAAAGCCCTAAGAGAAAATAGTCGCAACCATCTTTTATTTTCAAATAAAAAGCCCACCTGTGCCGGAAGAAGGTTCTTACGGTTTCTTCCAAATCATTTAAAACCCATTGGCAACATCAAATTTAAAAACAAATTAAAAAATTATCTCATAGAAATCGCTCCTTACTCCATTAAGGAGGTCTTTCCCCAATTAACCTAATTTTATTGGTAGTTTCTTAGTATTATATAAATTGTAATTTTAGCTTATAACTGTATTTACTAGGTTAGGAATTTGACACTATTCAATGTACAATGTACAATTATTGAATAAAGATATTGAAATGAAATGAAAAAAATACAACAATAGTGTTGTAAAAATGATACTCAACTTTAAAAAGGTTTTTATTTGATCATATAAACAAAATCAACTATCCTATAATTTTAGTTTTTATTTAGTGGTCTATTTACTTTTTTCAGTGGTACACACTTTTGAAAACAAGTTATCGTTCTAAGGTTCCTCACGTTACTCAGGGTTAAAAATAACATTATAAATGAAGGAACAAATAAAGAAAAAAGCTGGGGGAGGAGAAGGGTGATTAGAGAATGTCTAAAAGAAAATACTATGGAAGTTTATGATTTAATTCGGAAGTAATTAAAACCAAAAACTCACTATTTCTTTTATATCAACATTTCACAAGCATATTTAATAGACTAAACTATTACGTACCTCGTCTTGCAGTTCAAACATAGAGTTTGAAGTCCACTACATATGTTTCACCAAATATGGCATTCTGAAGTGGTGACAGAAACATTTGATCCAAATTGGAGTCTTCAACATATTATTTCAAATACAAAATATTTACATTGTGACACGCAAAATAACTCAACGAATAAAACATTTAAACACGTAGGCCTACAACACATAACCTGGCCAACGGTACTGACCCATATTTTATATCAATATACACCAATGAAATATTCTTCACCAGAAAGCAACGCACAAGCGATATGTTCAAAGCCTAAGATTTACTCAGCAACAGAGAAATAACAAAGTAAATGTGTGTGTAAAAATGATTGCAATTTTAAAACAAACATAGCCGTTGAAGTGAACGCATTTGGAATGGAAAATTTCCATGGAAAATATAATTTGTTGCACAAAGAGATTTTTTACTCTATAGGAGTGAAAAAGGAAGATAAAATACCCTGAATTCTGTTAGTGGCTGTAATAGACAGTCGAAGTTTCCAGTTAATATCAGCGATCGCAGCGGTCGAGGTTCCGGGCATTTGACACAATCGGGACACAGCCAGGCTTAATTAAATTGGTGGAAACGAAACACGCCGTATTTTTACCTTGTAAATGCTTGTCACATCGTTTGAAAAAGGTTATACGATATATTTTTCAATACTTAATTAATATATTGCCTTCGTATGTACGTGATTTATATATCAAATCGAAATGCAGTTCGGATGTTGAGTTGGATTATTTTGTTTTTAAATCACCTTCAATTGTTTTAAGGTTAGGAGAGCCTAGCACAGATCAGAGGCTGCAACAGTTTCTAACGAATGGTTTTGTCTTGAGAAAATATTTTTTTACTTTCAAAAATCCAATGTAAGTAAAAAAATATGAAGATGTGTTAATATTAACACGAAACAGCTGTAGTCAACCAACTACAAACCAGGACCACTTGACGGATACAGGTAATTTAAATCTTTTATTGTAAAAAAATATATTCAACATAAAATAGGCTGTGCATGATTAAAATTTAAAACTAGTATTTTCTTGTGACAGTCCTACGTAAATTGTCCATTTCATCCGCCATTTTTATGATAGTAGACAACCTATTGTGTATACAGTACCTTATAATACATATTCCGTAATTGCCTAGTAAAATGAATCTCTAACAGTGCATCATGACATGATAGAGTGAACCATAGTGGTAGTTCGTTGCCAGTGGTTGACCAGTCTCATTAAACTTAATGATATTACTGTTAACTATCCATTACAACAACCAGTTATTGAGGTTTCATCACATAGAAACGCAGTAGTTATTGTTTTATTCTGCTTCTAAATCACACAACCGATTATTGTTACTGTAATATTTACGATAGTTCAAATTTCTCAAAATCTCCCTAGAACGAGCTGGTCTAATGGTGGAGCTTGGGGCTTCGGAACCTCAGTTCCCGGGTTCAAAACCCACTAATCACCAATTTTATCGATTGATAATATTACGATCCTCCAAGACTAGCATAAAGTATTGTGTTAAACAGTCCCAGGCTGGAACCTAGCGTCATAAGGAAACAAGGTTCATTTTTACTATAGTTTCTTTGTTAAGGTCCATTGATAATATTACAATTTGATTACATATTTTTTCAAGTTAAAAACCTCGTTGCAATGGTATACTTGGCACACATTATTTTAATGTTTCTCCCAAACCAATAAGAAGTCCAGCAGGCAGGTGTCCACCATCTCACAACATGCATTTCTGTTTGGTTGGTTTTTACCCCGAGTCAAATTTACGGACGGTTCCGACTTGGAACCACGCCTGGGACCAGGTTGGGAATCTACTTCATAAAAATATTTGGCTCTAACCCAAAATATTCCTTGCATAAACATATAAGCTTCCCTATAAGCACGAATAGTATATCACTAAGTGAGCTTTGCCATTAGTTGCTGTGGTTACCAAGCTCGCTAGTTTGTTTATCGTGTATACAAATAGTTACTATAAACTCTGAAGCTGCATTGGTTATACATCTAGTTGGCGATGTTCAGATATTGAATTTCTCATTTGGGTGCAGAAATGCTTCAGAAATATAATCAGGGTCCATTAAAAAACATAATAGATTTTTAATAGTTTACAAATTACACTAATATGATGACTCATTTTCTCTTTTAATGAATACTATAATAATGCAGTAATACGAATGAAATAATTTAAATTCAATGTGGTCTTACGGTAAAAAGATTATAGAGTGATAAAAACATTATAATTTAATATGAATCATTTAAATAAAAATTTAGACAATTTGGTATTGATATTATTTGCATAGACGAGTAATAATAACAATGGAAATGCCATTGTAATTTCAGTATTAAATGCTCATAACCCATTTTGGTATTTACATACTTTTGTACACATTGAAAATCTTGGATTGTGTGGACATTTGAAGTTGCAGTTAGTTTTCAGTGTAGCAAGTTATATGTACTGTAGAACCTAATAATGAATGATGTAAGTTAAAACCACATAAAATTAATTATGCAATTTAACTTCATCCAGAACCAATAACTATTCACAGTTAACTCTCCTAATTTTGTGTTCGCAATGTGTATGTAAAATAACTATGAAATCTATTGATAGAACATTTCGTTGGATATAACTAGGTATTATAACCAGGTTATAATTTAATCAAGTAACGGTACACATCTCTTAAAGTGATCTATCCGTCCAAAATGTTATCTTTTTCTCGAATAATATACATATCATTCAGTCCTTCCTTAGAAAGATTGATTGATATTTTTCCTACTATCTCTCTAACGGGACTTCTAATAACCCTATACATAAAACCTTTCCTGCTTGTTTAGCTGTAAGCTGTAAGCTGTAAACTGTAAGCTGTTTTTTCTCACAAAAGCCACATAACTAAACGTATTAGTATCGTTACAGAAACGGTATACCTTTTACGTTTACTGATCTCTGTATAATCTTTTGTTTGCGAAAGACTGTTATCTCAGTTCTTGTTTAGTTTTATTATCAAGGCGACTTATTGTCTTCGAAAGATAAACGCGTAGTTGAATTGGCAAAAGTAACGAAGTTTCGAACTTGCGCAGCAATTTTCTAATCCATCTTTGATGCAAACTACTAATCAACTGTATTGAAGTTACGTTTGTATTTTTTCCTAGAATGATCCCATAAACATATCTGAGACACCGGCAATTCAATGACACGCTTTCCCCCGAAAACATAAATTCGATAGTAAACTTTTACTTAGGAAGCTTACCCTCAACGTTATTTAGTATTACATAGGTTTTACTAGTCTGCGGGAATCGTTGGTCTCAGAGGCATTGCGATATATTCCACCAGGTGTTTTTAAACTTCTGGATTCGTATTTAACTATACCTTATTAAATACTTACGTTATTTAATTTTCTCTCGCAGGAGTTGATGGTCTGAGAGGCATGAAGGCATATTCCTCCAATTGTAGTTCAACAACACTTTACTAACCTCTTACACTTACGTTATTTTCTCCACAGGGGTTGGTGGTCTGAGGGATGTAGAGATACGCGCCCCTATAGCAGTGTCTCCCGGGTCCTCCGCGACCCTCACCTGCAGATACGACCTCGAGGGCGACCCCCTCTACACAGTCAAGTGGTATAAGGGCCGCCAGGAGTTCTTCCGATACGTGCCTAAGGAGCTTCCGCACACCAGGGTGTTTCCTCTTCCCGGAGTCAACGTTGACGTAAGTTCACATCTCTCCCAAATCAGACCATTAAATGTCTCAGTATGTGATAAATATCTCACTGTGTAAGGCACTGACGAAAGGTCATTGACTTTCTGCATCAGACATTGGACTAATATTTCGTCCAAATTGTGCTTGTTCATTCGTACAGATACAAAATGTTGTCTAGGTTTAATTATTGAACAATCTGTGCCCACTGGGTGTAAGCCAAAATTCTTGGTTACTACGACAAAGATTATTTCGAAATAGTATAATTCATCACCAGGGCCTAAAGTGACCCATTTTGACCCGAGCTCAAGCTTCATGATTGAGGTGAAGGACGTAAACTGAAGTACAGCCAAAGTTACGTATTTGTTTTTATATTGTGTTACTTTTTTGTTTATGTTTATTGGTAGAATATTATGGCTATGGTAGATGTGTTATTATAGATGTGCTATAGCGTACCGTAAATTATTAAAAGAACCAATTCCTAAGCCATGTCCTCTCCCATTGCAAACGCAAAGCACGAGTATAACTTCTGTAAGCATTTTATACTTGAACGCCAACCCCGTACGAAGGACGGGTATCATGCTAGTAGATATGGGTTTGTATACCACTGCTACTTTAAAGCAGGAAACTTATCAGTACAGTGCTTTTGAACAGGGACCACAGGTATTTGGTCGTGCGGCTGTTCACCCACATTATCAGGTGCTCGTTCGATGTAATTGTGAAAGAATATAAATGCTGATATTTTATTATTTAAAATTAAATATTTTTCAGTTATTCATGAAACTAGGTATACCTACATCAAACATTTCATTATTTCATTCATTTTATCTAACTAGCCTATTTCACGCTTCCAATTGATACGTATGATATGTATTACTAATAAAATATGGACAGGTAATATTGTCCTTCACGAAGAAGAATGCTACGACTAAAGTAATATGTAAGACTTTATTTTTGTTGACAGATAAGTGCGTCGGGCCCAACCAAGGTAGTTCTGAGAGACGTACAGAAGTCCCTGTCGGGGAAATATCGCTGTGAAGTGTCGGCGGACGCGCCCAACTTCCACACACAAGTAGTCTCCACACATATGCACGTGATACGTAAGTGTGTCTAGTCATTATTTTTAATCACTTCAAAATCAGTAGCCTAACCTTTTCCTGTTGAAATATTTTGTGCGTTAGTTTTAGGACTTTAGGATTTTGTTACTTATTTAGGAAGCGTAGACGTAATTATGGCTTGTTTCAGAGACGTTTCCGTGTCAGTTATGAGGCAACATCTCTGGCCATTTTACAGATTTAAAGTAAAATAGGTTCATAATCTGTTGAAAAATCAACTCATCTCTTTGGTCTAAATAACTATGAAAAAGTATTATATTCCTTAAAACGGCAATTGAATCAAGGCGTTGTAAAAAAATACGTAAAATGAATGTTCTTGCTTAGAGTGAGTTTGGAGCAATATTCAGTCGGTTGCTCAGTCAGTTGTGCGACGGACTTTGTTCCATGACAATAATTTTTTGGGTTCAGACCTTGCTTCCTTGCTACATTTTATCAGTCCAGATAAACTCTTGTACTGTGCGAATTAACTTACCCCTTGCTTACCTGATGCATCCTAAGCAAGGATCAGAGTTCAATGTAGATGCACATAAAATAAACAGGCAAAAATATGTTTCCTATTGTACAGTAACCTAAGCAATTAAACACTCTACCATTATCAGAGGCAACATTGCAGGAATTGCAGCTTAAAACACCTATTAGTTTGAATATTTGAAGTCAATCAATCCAACACTTATCAATTTACCGATTTCTTCTCGATGATCAAACCGGGTGCTTTTCAAATTTTCATTCTGATATTTTATTCCTTCAAAGGCTCTTTAATTTGATGAGGAAATTAAGGTGTAATTTATTCAACCATTAATTAAAAATATACCCTGCTAAGTCCTGTTATTTATGCACAGAATGAGACAAGAATATGCTGCTTGTAAAACCAAGACCGCTCCCTTGATAATGTTTAATGCCTCATTAGTTTCGTTTCTGCCCGGTTTGTAATTTGCCGCCAGCTATTGAGTCAATGTTCTGCTCCTTTCTTGCAATCAGGTTAGATTTTTATAATTAGCTTAGTTAGCCTGTTTTTTTGTTAAACTAAACGCCCATGAGTTTTTTTTTATATATATATAATCCCAATTTGTTCTCCTTATATACAGTGTTTAGTGCAGTTTGCAGATTGAAACTTATCGTGCTAGAGCTTAAAATAAGTGTTCACTTGTCAACTATAATTAGCAAGTAAATAAAAAATATCATTTGTTTGCGTTTATATAATAACCAATACTAACGGGTGGACAAATCAGCTTTTGAAAATTTCCTCCAGTTGAGACTCGACACCCTTCATGTACACTCTAGTTCATGTAGGTCTAATTTTTTCATAACCTTATTAATGCGTTCTTTGTAAACATTGACCTAACCATTGCAACAATAGCTTACTTAATTTCTTCAAAGTTGACGGGGTTTACACTATCGAAACCCGTGGTCCGTTCGAGAAGCAAAGGAATCACTAGTCACCAGATATTTTACATTACAACAGTTTTACATGACCTCTGTATTTCAGGCAACCTGGAGGGAGATCCTCGCATTTTACTGGAGAAGATGAGGTACAGTGTAGGGGACACGCTGCGAGGCAACTGTACAGCGCCCCCTAGCAGTCCTCCAGCGAACATAACCTGGGAGGTGAATGGTCGTAAGGTCAGTGTTACGAGAAAACATGTTGAAAACAAACATACTAAAGAAATGATACACAAAAGTAACATTAGTATGCACCTTAAAGAAAATTCAATGTTTTCAACTTCGTTGCGTTTTACTCATAAAAACCACTGACCTTTGGAGAAGACAAGATACAGTAATTAACTCAGCTACACGGAGCCCCAAATCCTAAAGCAACACAGTTAATTAAGCTCTGTGTAGCTTTGGCTTAGTTTATGTTCCAAACTTATGGTTAATCTTCTCTGGCCACTGTAACAGTTTTTGTTTGAGCTCACTTCAAGTTTAATATATTTAATACAGTACTGTAGTGTTAAGAAATCACTGGTGTAGGTTTATGTTCTGAAAAGTGTCACCTGTGAAATGGCTTATACCTATTTGGGAAATTCGAAAAAAAAAACATTATATGATTTCCTCATGGTAGCGGAAATATAACATTCAATTAATTTTGTTACTATGTCAGAACTTTTTGTAACCCAATTACGGTTTGATGTCCTATAATATATGATATGAATATGATCTGATAAATAGCTACTAGATAAATAGATGAATAGAATTAAAATCAAGCAAATCAATTGATTACTGTGCTAGTAATCAATTGATTTGCTTGATTTTAATTTAGTGAATGCCATAAATACTACCTTTTTGCCTGTTCCCCTCAGGCCACCTTCAGGAAATGTTATTGTAATATATTTACGTTTACCCTATGGCACAAAAAATTATAATTAATTAAGAGAATCGCGGATTCAGGCCTACTTAGTCTTAACAACTTTTCTTGTGTATTACAATTGTATTGTAACAATTTTACGTTTAGTAAAGTAGACATACCACCTATATAGACCAGGTGAATGATGGAAATTATCTGGTATGTACGTAGTTGAATCGACCTCTACTGCCACATTTCTTTTTCTATACTCTGGTATATGGCATAGAAAGTGTCTTTTAGCTCGGCCTTCAAACAAATTTAGCGGATTCGACAAAAATGACTCTCTGACATAACTGCGCTCTGTTGGTGTAACTTCCTAAAGGTGAAAATCTCGAAATTGAAATGAAATGCCTTATTCTAGCAATAACTGAAGTTATCACATTTTGTGCTTCAAATGAGAGTGAAAAGAGTGATTATTTCAATTTGAGTAAAAGAGTGTCTCTACTCGTATAGTGAATCAATTGATTTCCAGGCTCCACCGAAGAGTATACGCCACATCATTTGGAGAAGCAACTTCGACGAAGACTCCAAGTCGTTGACGATAGCGGATCTGGAGTTTGAGGTAGACCTGGGAGTGATAGAGAGTGGCGGAGGCAAGCTGGAGGTCCGATGTAGAGCGGACGTCTACGGAGCTTACATCACCGAGGCCAGAGTACTGCTAGTAGAGGAGCGGCCTCGGCTGGCCTCGGTGCTGGGGACCAGGGACTCGTCCACAGGTGAGGCCACAAATGTCATACAAAGTAGGACGAGGATTATATTGCAAAATATCTAATTAATGAAACGTCTTACTTTGCCTTCTAATTTTCTCAATAGTTTTATCCACTCCGGAAAACAAATAAACCAAATTTAGGATTGGTTTATTTTTCTTGAAAATTATCAACAGGAAAACTATACAGGGTGTTGAAAATGTCTGGAACCAACATTATATCTGGTGAGTGGTTAAAGAAAAACAACTGATATTTTGTGTACGGATATACTATGGTTTTACCTATCTTTTGGTGCCTTATGAAATTTTTTACCACTTATAGGGAACGTCCTGTGGAGGATGCAGTAAAAAGTTTTAATGGAAGCCTATAGTAAATGATACATCATTTTAAAGGCAATTTTTTTCTGAGTAAGGAGCCACAAGTTTCATCTCAAAAGGACCACCCTAGCGAAAATGGCGACTGTTTGAATTTTTTGAAAATAATTGAAAGCTTTTCTGTTAAAAATAAGTTTATTAAAACAACACAAACAATTTAGTTAAATTTTAAATCTTATTCAACACTTTAAAAGTCATTTTTCAGTTCACCACGTGATAAACTACTGTACTTCGTAACTGGCTTGTAATAGCATTTAAAGGAAACAAATTCGGACCATTTAAATAGCAATGTTTTTAAATTTCAAACCGTCGCCATTTTTGCTAGGGTGGTCCTTTTGAGATGAAACTTGTGGCTCCTTACTCAGAAAAAAATTGCCTTTAAAATGATGTATCATTTACCATAGGCTTCCATTAAAACTTTTTACTGCATCCTCCACAGGACGTTCCCTATAAGTGGGTTTTTTAAATTTCAAACAGTCGCCATTTTTGCTAGGGTGGTCCTTTTGAGATGAAACTTGTGGCTCCTTACTCAGATAAAAATGGCCTTTAAAATGATGTATCATTTACCATAGGCTTCCATTAAAACTTTTTACTGCATCCTCCACAGGACGTTCCCTATAAGTGGGTTTTTTAAATTTCAAACAGTCGCCATTTTTGCTAGGGTGGTCCTTTTGAGATGAAACTTGTGGCTCCTTACTCAGAAAAAAATGGCCTTTAAAATGATGTATCATTTACTATAGGCTTCCATTAAAACTTTTTACTGCATCCTCCACAGGACGTTCCCTATAAGTGGTAAAAAATTTCATAAGGCACCAAAAGATAGGTAAAACCATAGTATATCCGTACACAAAATATCAGTTGTTTTTCTTTAACCACTCACCAGATATAATGTTGGTTCCAGACATTTTTAACACCCTGTATGTAAATGAAGTTTCGGTTTACCGATTTTAGCACTTGGCAATGACATTGTTTATCCCCACCCCAATAAGAGTCTTAAACAATCTAATCTATTTTTTTAAGTTTGCAATGTGAAATTCCTGTTCATACGGGGGGGGGGGGTTAAACTCGGTAAAAATGACTCACGAGTCACGCTGAGCTGTAACATTTTGAACATGTTGATTGTAACATTTGTATCTAATTAAAAAGCTCCACTTTTCTCACTATTTATTCAAAATAACTAGTTGATAGTATTCTTAGCACCAATTTCACAATGGTGCATAGTTAAAGCTACAGAACCTCTTGTTGAGAGGCTTATTTGATATCAAAGGCCACATATAATCAATATTTACGATCAAAAGATTGAGGTTTATGATACTGGTTTGGAAAAAGGTTTAAACACACAATGATCACATACAGAGAATCAAGTATTGGAATCCAATTACTTTTTTTATATCCCACCTTCACATCCTAGGACGCTAGGTTCAAATCGGAACTGTTCTACAAATTACCTCAGGCTAGTATTAGAGGGTCAATGCATTATCAAATGGTGATTGGCGGAATTTGAACTCGGAACCTCAGCTCCTTATCTCCGAGCTTTACCACTAGACCAGATCGCTCCCCATGAATCCAATTATTGGAATCGAACACCCTATGATTATGTAGAATTTCATAGCACAGGAGAGTAAAGTGGCAATATTGAGTTTGAGAAAGATACAATCCGAGTTATGCAAACAGCCACTAAGTTAAAATTGGCCACTATAGATTGATATTCCATGATGCCATTGAGTTGAATACACACTCTGAATTATTTGGTATGATCAAGAAATAAAGTTAGCATTTACTCTAGTCCTAAGGGTCGATTTAAAGTGCAATAGAATGTTAAATGTGTCTTTAGTGTTGAAATGGCTTGAAACTTTTACTACCGTACTTTATGAATACACTTATTTCGTTTTACTCTGGGAAAATTGATTGAATTCAATTAAACAATTAAATTCAAAACTTCAATACAATGAGGTTGAATTGCATATATGATAAGAGAGTAAAATTATTTTATTTACATTCTTTCAGATGATATATTGTCATTAAGTGTTCCAGTAATTTATTTTACTTTATAATAAACCAATATAAGATTGTATAACTTTACAGAATAGGCTTCTAGTTAACCCAGTCGTTTCCTCACATGTACTCGTTCTAGTAACGAAAAAATCCTATATTACAATAAAAGTATAAAGAATTGTGATTTTTGCGATATACAATTTAATCACCCTCTAAAGACAAATGTTCGAAAGGTACAATCCATAATACGAGTTTGGTCATAATGCTGACAAAGTTTGGAGAATTATTTGTCTCATTAAAAGTTTACGCTACGTAGTTTGGATTGCTACAAAAAAGTGAGTTATAGAGTGAGAAGTTTCACAAAAAAGAAACATTTTGTGCTGGAGGATGCAGCAGTAATTAGTGGCCATAAAGCAAAATTGCCTCGCATTACAAGTTCAAGACTTGGCTGTTGTGTTGTTAAAAGTATACGTTTTCCTTGAAATAAATAATTGCTAAGCAATGGTGATACATCTTATACATAGTGAAAATGTATTAGATTAGTTATTTGTAAAATATATACAGCTTATTATTATTTAATAAGTAGGAACACAGTTTTGTATGATGGTGAGCGTGTAATGATTACCGGTTTTAATTATAAATCTACTTAAACTAACTATTCAGGTGCGATCATTTATATTATGCAATAGCTGGGTAGAGGCTGAGTGGTTTAGTAATTAAAAGGTCACCAGTTCGATCCTGAGAAAAGCCAATAGCTTTTTGATGTTAACTAGTCCCAGCTGTCCTTTATCATAAACCGTTATAAACAATGCTGGCAAATAAAACCAGGTTATAGTCTTAGTCAGTAACAAAAATACTCATTTTATTACCCACTCATCCACTACTCACTCATATTTGGGTTGAAAAACGATCTTTGCCATCCTAAACAGTTCCCGGATACCTAAAACAAACCAATCTTTAGGTAAATGCCTCTGGACTTTCATACTTTTCTTATCATCGCATGATTTAATAAACGCTTTTCTATTTAAATTGGTAATTAGCAAACAAATGCTAAGCTAGTCATTGTGCGCCAACTTTTCCCTTATTTTACATTAAAAAACGTGGCATTCCAGGAATTTATAAGGAGACCCTTTTGAACTTAGTTTTGTTTAGAAAATGTTAAATGCTAAGTAGAAACGGTGGTAATTTAAATAGGAAATTGTATTTTTGAATTTAGGCTATACAGTTAAATCTACCACTATTTTGAAATTTAAAATCGGAGCATCTTTATTTTTTTTCTTACATATGATTCTCCTTATTTTAAATATACACAATGTTTCATAAAGATCCGTTTGGAAAATTTTAGGATAAACATGTTTGTGAAAATAAATGGTGGATATAGTTTTTTTTGGAAAACTTGGATTCTAGATTCTCTTTTTATTTTGACACAAACCCCGTATCCTGGAGGTTAACTGAAGACTTACGGATCACTCAGTACAATATTGTTGACATGAAACTTATATAACGATAACTAATGTATATTTCAGGGCAACACCGCACATGGTCCATCAGTTTATGGATGTTACCTCTGACAGTGCTCATGGCGCGGTATCGGCCTGCCAATGTGTCATGTACATGCCATCTTATGTTACATTGTATAACGATAACTAATGTATGTTTCAGGGCAGCACAGCACATGGTCCATCAGTTTGTGGATGTTACCTCTGACAGTGCTCATGACGCGGTAACGGCCTGCCTATGTGTCATGTACATGAACCATCTTATGTTACATTGTATAACGATAACTAATGTATGTTTCAGGGCAGCACAGCACATGGTCCATCAGTTTGTGGATGTTACCTCTGACAGTGCTCATGACGCGGTAACGGCCTGCCTATGTGTCATGTACATGAACCATCTTATGTTACATTGTATAACGATAACTAATGTATGTTTCAGGGCAGCACAGCACATGGTCCATCAGTTTATGGATGTTACCTCTGACAGTGCTCATGACGCGGTAACGGCCTGCCTATGTGTCATGTACATGAATCATCTGATGTTACCGTGACCTTCACGTGATTTGAAGGGTGTATATTTTTACTACCATTGATTTTTATTTTTGTATAGATTCTATATTTGATTTTGTATTATATTGTTGTCTGTAAATAGTTATCAAACAATACGAACAATAACTGTATGAATGAATAAACATTGTAAATTACTAACTTTTTCGTGTCCGACATGTAGTTTTATTTACTGTGTCATATGCTGACGTTACAGTACTGTGTGCTCATAATAAATTTAGCACACATGTGGATTAATATTTGAACACTGATACTTGATATGGAACTTACACTGCTATGGGTTGTTAACATATTAATGAAAATTCTACAAAAATTGCGATTAATATAGGCTAGTAAAACTTAGGTACGTTTGAGAATATGATTCTTTGTGTGACCTTATTGGATCAGGACAAAATCGTAAATTTGCGATTGAAAACCTCACTTGAAAATTTTACATGTTGAAATAAGTGATGTAGCAATTAAAACCAACAAACAAGCGAGAAAATTCGATTCTTAATTAACGGGTTGATTTATCCATCAATGTACATTTGAGTCAACATATTACAAAATATACAGGATGTATGATAGCTAATTATATACTCAGACGAAGTGTATGCTTTTTTAGATAGGTCATTGAGTGTAACATTTGTCAAGACTATGTACAACTGAAGTTCAATTAACATCAAATAAATCAAGTAGCTTGTTCAAGATACCATTAGTGCTATCAACCAACCACGAAACGATATTGCGGTGTTTATACAGTTTGAAGTTGCGCGGTAACATTGCATCCACCACTTAGCAAACCACTCGTCTTATCTATATTAACTAGGAACATATGTGGCCTTTTGAACAAATTTGATATCTGGAAGATAATTAGTAACAAAAATAACAACTAAAATCATTTCTTAAAGGAAGAATTCTTTTGCCCAAGTAGAAACAGCAAATAAATATGCATATATGGGATTTTATAAGAGTATAAATAAAAAGTTATCCATACAATTTTCTTCGACAATAATTATGGCTTAACCAACAGGAAATATTGTAAAAAAACTACAAAAATATATTGGATGATTAAGATAAATTGGGCAAAAATTTTTATCCATGGTATTTCTAAAACGGTTAGCATTAAATCACTAGGGGATGTATGTTAATGATACATTTTGTTTGTATAATCACATTTCACAAATCGAAGTACATATACTCGTTTAAATACAATTGAAAAATGTTACATACATTTAACATTTAATAAGTTATTTTAAGCGTTGGAATCCTACACTTGTTTGGAATCAATATCCACAGTTATTTTCGAATGTTTAATGTGTCACATAATGTTTATGATGTTATAATTTTGATATAGAGAATTAAATGTCTCCAGCTGACTTACAATAAATCGGTGAATCACATAATGATCCTGACTTCACGTTTAGTTCTTGACAGTGTAAAACAAGCGACCTTTAAGGCACGTTTTGCTGACAGCCGCTGAAACACAGTCTTATATGACAACATCTCGCTAATGTACGTGGAAACAAAATGGCACCTCTATAGACGAATCCTGCCAACGTCCGGGGAAACGTGTGTTGACGTCTTATATGAAAACATCTTGATGTACGTGGAACATGAACTGGCTCCTCTTTGTACACGTTTTTCTGACGTCTTTTAAAACATAAGTTGGCGTCTTGTATGAAAACATCTTGATGATATACCTGTGATATGAACTGGCACCTCTTTATACACGTTTTGCTAACGTATGCTCTAACATGTTCTGTACTATCGTTTTATATAACACTAGCTGTAACCCGCGGGCTTTGCCCCGTTTAACTTCTTAATTTTCAAGATTATCTCGTTCGCATGGCTCAATCACGTCCTGGTTGAAGTTTGTTCGCTACGCTCACTCACCTTTGGGTTGGAGCTCGTTCGCTACGCTAACTCACCTCCAGGTTGAAGTTCGTTCGCTACGCTCACTCACCTTTTGGTTGCAAATTAGCTGTTGTCATAAATATGTAAAAGAAATAATAGTGCTGCACCCTGTTGGTAATCCTTGTAACTTTAATGCTATTGAACATCACAGAACAGAACCAACTTGTTTAATTGAAACAGCTGTTAAGATTCAATAATTCCATTTCTCATAAGGTTAACATGGGAAACTCCAGAGCCACTGGGGCGGAGCCCGAAAGGATTTTTGAAATAAGAATATTCCTATATGTTAATCGGGAATGTGAGCTATCATCATGCCAAATTTCAGCCCAATCCGACCGGTATTTTTCGCGTTCACTTGTCAGAAACATACATCCATACATCCATCCATACATCCATACATCCATACATCTAAACTTTTCTCATTTATAATATTAGTAGGATTATCCCCCTGATGACCTGAAAAATGGACTTTATTTGTATGATGATTTGTTGAATCATGATTTTAATTGCATATAAATGGTTTTCTTGTTAAACTTATATTTCTCCCCACTGTTGTACAATGTTTAACATTTAATAATAGTAACTTATACAACAAGAGAAAATAAATGTGCATTTAATGGTAACCTCAGGACGGGTAACTACTTATAGTGAATGTGGCAACTTCACTTAGATCTCCCCTAATTATATATCAATTACTCTCTAAGTAATTCATATGCAACAGTACTTCAGTTTGAACCGAACATTAACTTGTTTGTGAAATCAACTACTTACAGTATATATTATCCTCAGGAGTTATAGAGGAAGCATTTACGTGCATAATACTAGTTATGAGATATTTTAACTTTAAACCTTTTGGTTCTAAAATTAAATTATACAACTTTAATGATCCCCACCTATGTGTATGGGGAAAATAATGCCAATTGCAATTTCTATTGTGACAGTCAACATAACAGTTATCAGGGGTGTACATTACTCAAAGCTGTACTAATACTTAAAAACTTGAATTAGGGGCTAAGCTTTTCTAATTCAGATTTATATTGCTGTTGACATTTAGTCAGATCACACAAATATATTTTGAAATATTCTGAATTTTACATACTGTAAGCCTAAAACAAATTGTACTGTCACTTTTCCATTCAGATTGGAATCACAATCCTCAACCAACTTGGTTGCATCAAACAATGCGAAACAATTGTCCAAAACGCCTGTAATCTATCGACAGTTTCATGAACAACCACTGAGGTATCTAAACTCTAGGAAATATCGAGAAAAATCAGGCACTGGTATTGAAAAGTACAAAAAACAGTAAAATATAACTACGAGTCTTTTAACCGGGCAAAATGAAAATAATTACATTGATTGTTTTTCTTGTACGTATTATATATTTGACATTTGTATTTTGTTTTGCGATGTATTTTTGTCGTTAGAAATAAACATTATTTTTATTCACTCTATCGTTGATGTATGCTAACGCTTGTATAATTCAACGATTTTGGAAACAAAACTCCTTCATATAGGTGAAGTGTTACTGCAGTAAGATCCTCGACCATTATATAAATTACTTCCAGAGTTGTTCACAGACTACACTTGTGAACCAAGTTTGCTCCGACCATTAAAATGTTTTGTAGTCAACATTTCATCTCACAATCTATGTTTTCTCACTTATTAAGAGATACTATTATCTACTATAAATATTAAGAATAACCACATAACCTATATATGTTAAAACAATACATTTTATTTACCTGTACTGTGATGGTTTTAGGATATGAATACAAAATGTAATATTGCTCTGAATACAAAACGGTGTAAAGAGTCCATCAAATACATTCGAAAAAATCTACTGTCCAATGAATAAAAGTCATAGTGTTGTATACTGTGGGAGTATTTTGTATTTCCGAGTCTTTGGTGGCGTCGTCCTATAATCCAGCTACTAGGAGGTAACGAATTGTGAATATACGTGCACTGTAGATGCGATGCTCCCTCTGGTGTGGACTAACGTCCGCACTAGTGAGTACTACGACTATCCACAGTGCTATCCTGACAATTAGACCAATTCGTTAATTACAAGGAAAAAATGTGGTTCGGAGTCCACTATAAACTGTAGGTCCCTTAGTCGCCATTGGCTGTATGGGCTAGCTCTGTCCAAGGATCATGTCGGCCTTAGTTACTAACAAGACTACAAGATCGCACCACTCATCCTTCACTCCTATTTGGGTTTAAATACGCATGTAATGGCGTCCTCATCTTAAATAATTGATAATTGATTTTAGAATTTCTTTTATCCAAGTAGTCCAACTTAAATTAGTTTTACAAGCCTAATACATTACATTGCTTTACATCCACTGTACATCGTTAAGAAATCTTCTTTCTCAATTTTCTAAAAAAACTTAGAAATACCTTCTACTATCAGAGGTTGAAAATACTGTGGCTGTCAATTAAAGGGGGTAAAATACTTTGTCAATATACAATTTGAAGTTGACCATAACATGATTGGTTGCATGTATTTTGCTTGTAGATCAACAAATGTCCTATGTCTTATGTAAACAGAAAATCTTCCCTGCAAGAAAGTGAATCACAGAAATAAAACACTAACACAACGATAAATGATTTAGTCATAATCCTTTGCACTTACAGTACGGTTAAGTTGCATGTGATGTAGTTATCACTTCATGCTGTCCAATACAGGAGTCTGTTAGAGAATCCATGGAGATACAGTAACAGCTGGAGATGGAAGTTTGACAGTTTGATAGTTTGACAGCTGTAAACAAGACAATGACATGTTGTCTAGAGTGATCTTGTGACGATACAGCAGCTGTTATGGTATAATGAGAAATAAATGCGGAACATTCTAGGATTTAAAAACTTCTTTGTCGCTAAGTAAATAAATTATAGTTTTTGCTGCAACTATTAGTTTGCACCTTTATGTTAATAATCCACACAGATTATTAAACAAGAGCTT